ATTATATTCCACGATATTCTCACGAATCCTCATATTTTTCTACCTCCCCTCGAATTCGTAAAATACTCCCCCATCATTTATATCCATTCCACCATATTCCCCTCCGACCCTCCCTCGCCCTCCCCTCCACGCCCACGACGCCCCCACTAAAACAAAATTATCCCCAAATCCCAAGATTTTCGTGCCTCCAATCGTGCAATATAAGTCCGAAGCCACAAGAATTATGCAATATTTATAGAATTGGTTCGAAAATGAATCAAAACAAGAATATATTGAGAAATAATATATACAAGATAAGGCTAAACCTATGAATTTCGAATACTAACATTTATTTGCTTTCAAATTATATATATATACTCTATATTTCGGGAAAATAACGTGATACTGTAATATCGTATATCATACCATATTGTACTATTCCATATTTTATTTTGACTGAGTGGAGTGCCCTGCAGGCGAGATTTCGATGTCTTTCTTACTCTTCGCTGGACCGCTATGTAGATGATGATATCGTTTCCCGGCATAACTATTTTGGTCACCCTAACAAGGCCCAGATATCTTCATCTACCTCCGCCTCTTTCAGCGGAGCAGCCGACGACCCCCCCGCATCCTTTAGAGGAGCGGTCGGCAAGTCTTCAGACGCGTCTGGTGCAGCCGTATTGGCTGCCAACTCTGCCAATTGAAGCAAGCGTTCCAAGGCGTCCTCTGCGGAAGTGAAAGCTGCTGCGAATTTCTGGAAGCGCTCTTGTAGATCGCCTTGCAGACGGAGCACCAAAGCGTCCTGTCTGTCAGCTTCGTCGCAAGGTGCAGGAGCTTCTTCTAGCTCTTCCTGCTCCGCTTTCTCTGTGTACCGCATAGCCTGCTTCGCCAATCTCGGATCTTCGAGAGCGCACTCTGCGGCCAGGGACCAAAGCTCTCGGGACTTTGCCCAAGATCCAGGCCGAGATCTTAGCTCGTGTTCGTAAAGCTCGGCAGCACGAGCATATGCACTGTGCGGCTCCCATCCATGTGCATCCCATCCAAATGAGCACCCATGCCGGCAACAAACCTCGTGCTTCAGTGGCTCCGGCGGTACTGTCCCTGTTTCAGATGCATCGCTTGCATACTTCTCGAGACAGTTTGCTGCCACTAGCAAAGCCTCCTCAGTCTTGTCTGAATACACTCCGTCGACCAATAAACGTGCTACTGCTCCATGTGCTGCAAGCACTCCTAGATTAGAAGCTGTCTTCAACAAAGCCAAGCACAGAGGCCTCTCTGCATCCGTGCTAGAGACTTGTGGAAGGAAATCCGAATGGTCCATGTCAGAAGCCAACCTCGCCAAGGCCAGGAGGGCTTCGGGAAGACCCTGCTTCGCAGCCTCGGCAGTGTGAAAGATAGCCGCCTCGAGTTCTGCACGCGTCCGGAGTGATGCAGCATTTGGGGAAAGCCTGCCTTCATGATACATAGCGGCGATTTCCATGTGGCATGCAGCTTCGACCAGATCAAGGGGAAGGGCGACAGAGGACTTCGGACGATTGAAACTCAAGTCCCAGCTGGAGGCGCGAAGATCGAGATCGGGCGCGGAGCTCAGCAGCACTTTGTCTGAGGACCCAACGTTGCTGTTGCCGTGGCCACTACGCGACGTAAGATCCCACACCCCAACCCCAGCGTTCAGATCTCGGATGCAGGTCCCCTGCTCCGGCACCGGCGTTTCCAGCTCGGAGCGTGCCAGGGCAAACACTGGCAACCCAAGTGTGCGATCCACGTCATTGTACCGGTGGCTCCACAAAAAGAGGGCAAAGCCACGAATACCCAGATTCACTGAACTGTCTGCCTTCCTGAAAGATCCGGAAGCATGACACGGCAAGAAATGGATCACGGGATCGGTATAAATGTCATCGATGCCCTGGATATCCACTACCATCAAACTCCTGCCAGACTTCACAAACGTGAAATAGCTGAACGTCTGCGGTGTCTTCTTCGCACCCATGGTGCCTTCCAGGAGCCACATGCTGCAAAAGCACCGGACCGCGGTGGTTGCTTAGGTTTGGAGCGAAAATAGGCCCCTGACTTTAGAGGAACACCTCAGAGCTAAGCCACTGCAGATGCAGATGTAGGAGAACCCCGAGGAATCCAATTCCTTTTCAACCAGCGTGTGATTCCTTGTGGGCTTAGTATTCGGCATAATATGGCACTTGCGACCATTGATGCGGCTTGGCCTGTCCCTCTTGGATACAGAGAAAATGTCACCGTATTGACTCTAGTTTCTGTGCTAGTCATAAGCAGCATCGTTTAAGACTCTGCTACGTGTTCGAATGAACGATGTTCTCGTCTTCCTCGTCCTCGTTGTCCCCGCTGTCGCTGTGATGACTGGTTGTGCCGGTGCGGCCAGCGCGGCTGTAATGATACAGCAACAGCACCGGTTAAGAAATCATTGGTTTAAGAAATTGAGCCCCTCGGACAGCCGTGCGATAAAATACCAGGGTACCCTGGACTCGGCGTGCCAATTTCTTACTTTGCTCTTTCTCATTTTGTCTTCGCTGGTGTTATTCGCGCAGAACAAACCAAGAAACTACGGGAGTTTCCAAAAGCTCGGTGCCAAACCCTTACAAAGCAAACCAAGAAATGAAGGCACGGGAGAATGCGAGACAACAGCTATATGCATCCCATTTTTTACCAAGCTTGTAAGCAGCCCTTACCAGAAGCCCCCAAAATAAGAAATCGAGCCCCACAATTTCTTGAATTTAAGAAATCGAGCCCCTCAATTTCTTATTTTGGTGGGCTTTCCTTATATGACAAAGCTTCATATAACCCCTTATTAAGCCTTTACACAGCCTCCAAAGCCCTCCAAAGCTGTTGTTAAAACCTTATTAAGCCCTTATTCAGCTGTTATTAAAGCCTTATTAAACCCTTTAGGCAAGCCCAGAACCCACCAAAATAAGAAATCGAGGGGCTCGATTTCATAAATTTAAGAAATTGAAGGGCTCGATTTCTTATTTTGGTGGGTTATGGGCATACCTAATAAGGGCGCAATAAGGCCTTAATTAGGCTTTAATACAGCTTTATAAAGGCTTAACAAGGTCTCAATAACAGCTTTTGAGGGCTTTGGAGGCCTTGTAAGGGCTTAATAAGGGCTTAAATGAAGCTTTGCCACATAAGGAAAAACCCACCAAAATAAGAAATTGAGGGGCTCGATTTCTTAAATTCAAGAAATTGTGGGGCTCGATTTCTTATTTTGGGGGCTTCTGGTAAGGGCTGCTTACAAGCTTGGTAAAAAATGGGATGGATATAGCGGCATTCTTGGGCTGCCACGCCCGAGCGGATAAGCACATGAGCTGGAATGGGAAGTGCTGTGGGCTCGAATCCCGCCGCGTCGTCATTTCTTGTTTTTTTGATTTGCTGCCGTTGCAAATTAAGAAATTTGGGTTAAGACATCCAGGGTACCCTCAACTCCCGAAACTTTTTTTTACTAAAAAAACGTGCGCTTCAAAAATAAGAAATCGAGCCCCCCCCTCACGAAAAATTAACTGTTTCTTAACCGGCGCTGTCGCTGTAGCACTGTCGTCGTCGCCGTCGTCGTCGTCGGTAGTGGTGGGTGGTGTGGGTGCTGCTGTTGGTTGCAATGGCAATGAGCCTTGTGCTGTAAACTTGTCGTTGACCCTCAGGGGCCGTGGTGGTGCGGACGGCGGCGACGGTAGTGGTTGCTGGTGGTGCCACTGCTTGTTCGCGGCTCCTTTTCCCAGTTGTTTCTGTTGTGGCGGCTGCTCTGTAATCAACACAAGCAGTCAGAATCCAGTTGACTTGAAACGCTCAAACTAAGCAGGTGCCTCCAGAGTTGTTGTTGTGCTTGATGTAGTTGCCGAAAAGGAATGCCTCTGCGCCAAAGGTCCGGCCGTCTTCCAGCTCTATCATGTGAGTCCTTTGATCTCATCTTTGGGGTGACTGCAAGGCACATGGTGCGTGACAGGTTTGGAACTCGTTGATACTCAGAGCAGAAAGAGCGGGGAGCCTCTTGCTACCCCGAACTGTCGACCCCCAAGAGGTCTCGCAAGGAAAGCTTGCCATCATCCTGGCCGAGAAACAGAAGAAAGTCGATCAGATGCGGGAAATGGCCACTGTCTCCCTGGAGCTTCGTCCTTTCCACAAAGCGGCAATTCTTGCACTTGGAATTGCAATCCGCCAATGTGCCGGGGAGTGCCTGAGGCTCTGGTTGTAGAGCTCTGCATAATGCTTGGCCATGGCTTGGTGCATCACGTCGACACCTCGGGACTTCAGCATGCTGGTGAAATCACGCTCACACCGACTCACACCATCGGCGTTGTATTCCATCTTGCTCTGGGCCGCTTGCTGCAATCGTGTCGGTGCTGGTCCAGGTCCTGAAAGTCTTGCATCGACCGTTTTGCGACCTCGAAGCGCAGTTCAACCGATCCTAAAGCCTGCTACGCAATGTGTTGCTTAACTTTGCACCCTCGGACACCTGGCCTAGGACTCCCTTGCTACCAAGCTCTCGTGACTCATCGTAGCGACGTTGCCAGCTGAGCGGAGAACGTAAAGCCGCCTTCTCTCCTTAGCTGAGCTGACCCTGCCAGAGCCGGCTCGAGAGAGCAGAGAGAGCAAGAGCAGAAAGATCGGATCCGTTGCCCTGAAATTGATCACCCCCCGTCCCACCTTCTGCCTCTGCTTTCAAGAGTCTGAATGTCGCATCTCGAGCAAGCTGTTGGCGACCAGGAAAAAGCCGCCTTCGGAGCCCTGGGCAGGAGGGGAGTCAACAGCAAGCGCTGATGTCCATGTGTGCGAGTCTGTGTGCGTGCGTGCGCGTGTGCGTGTGTGAGAGGACTGATTCGTCATGAAGCTTCCAGACCATGCATGAGCTGTCTACATCTGATACCATGTGCAACACGAACCGATGTATGCCACAGGATGTGCAGCGAGGAAGGTTAGGGAAATGCCATCTCCAATCCAAAGCGACCTAAAACGACCTCTCTGTACTGCCTGCACTGCACCGATCTCAAGACGTCGCGAGTGGTTTGCTTGCGGTGGTTTCTATCCTCACAGACTTAGTAGGGCTACGCTTCTCGACATGCTTATGTGCCTGGGTGGTCCTGGGTGGTCTATCTCTGCCTGTGTGACACAGACATGAAGCAACCCTGTCCGACCCTGTCCGACAAGGTGTGCTCATCCAGAAAAAAGCAATCCTAAACGTCTGTGCAAATCGCTCCCGGTGCACCACAGGGAGGCCTCGTCTGAGCCGACGGACCTGGACAGTTCTGTAAATGTCTTCAGCACTTCATGCGAGTGAGCGAGGTCGCCTTAAGCAACCTGGACCCGAAAACGCTAAGCACAAGACCATGATGTCCCAAAACCCTTCAACCGCAAACGCCTTCAAGCAAACGACGTCAGACCTACAACCCTGAAGCACACCAATTACAGCCCTGAGCCTTTGCCCCGAAACCCCCAAAGCTCGCAATCCCCAGCGACTGAATTTAAACCCTTGAACCCCAAGCGACCGGCAGCCCCAACGGGGCCAGATTTGACGCCGGTTCAGCTCCCTGCAACAGCCAAGAGGCCGAGCGCTCGGTGAGATATCGCCGAAGCTCACCACCTCCTGGTCCGGGTTCGGCCTCGGCGACAGTCTTCCCTTTTGGTGCATCTACGGATGCTCATGTAGCTGTAGGTCTGTAGCTACCTACAAGTATTCGGGGGTACTCGGTTTTCGAGTTCGGGGACAAAGGCTTCTGGCTCTGGGTGAGTTGCTGGTCAAGGGTTCTCGAATGTCATGATCGCATCGAGCTTGCAAAGCTGGCTCGGAGAGCTAAGAGACATGAGGTTGAAGTGATTTGAGGTGTTTGGAGGCATGGTACAACTTCACAGCGAGCAAAAACCGAGGCTTGATGTCGAAGCTGTTCTTCCTAGTTCTGGTGCTCTTCTCACCGTTGTCTGTTCCTGCGTGCTCCACAGCATTGGCAACAAATGGAGCATGCAGGCCTACATCCGCGGGCCGAAAGTTTCGAGTTACACGTGCATCTTAGAACATACAAGCTCTTGCGGAGTAGCGGAGTGCCCCTCAAGTGTCGTTTACACTAAGCCAGCAGAGGCAATTTCTACCCCGTTTCAAAAGCATAATACTTTAGGCCCCAGGGCCTGACTTGCGTTAGGAGTCCATGGGGAAAAGGGTGGGTTGTAGCATGTTCAAGCTAGTGGGTCGAACTATCGGCTCGGCGCAATAGGCAGGCCATGCGACAAATCAGTGGACAGCGGAACATGACCAAGTTCTGGCTATGAGGAAGAGCAAGAAAAGACCTGACATGCGGCACGGACCCCATCGTTTCCATCACAGTGCTCATCCTATCCTGTACAATGTCTTGGCAAGCATGCTGAAGCTTCAATACTGTGTCACAAGCCATCGCATACGCCATGATACACACCATCGTCATAAACAGCATCATTATCTTGTTATTCGCACCCAACACCAACATGTGCAACACCCAGCAACACTCGTCCAAGGGATGCATTGACCCAAAGCCGCAAAAAACAAAGGCAGCTCTCATAGCACAACGGTGTTCATTCAGGCATGTTTCGCCTGGTTGATATATTCAAACATCCGAACTCTCTCCTCTCCAAATTCATGCTGCGCAGAAAAATGCACGAGGCGGGCGGTCAGCCATCATCTGATTCCAGCCAAACATGACTCTGCAGTGGGACCCTTCTGTCGGGCGTGGCTTGGCCAGTATGGATGCTCCAAGTTCTTCTGCAAACCCATTCAGCGTGACATTCACTTGAGCTTCTTGGAACGTGATACACCAAAGCCTCCCTTTGCTTCAATCGAGCGTCGACTGTGGGACGCTGCGCTCCTGCATGTTGACCTGCCGCGGCGCCCTCTTTTATCTCGTCATTATAGCATTGGTGCCGCACCCTTCCTTCAATTGACAAGCTCTGGGTTTGGGTTTTAAGTCGGGGCCATGGGCTCCAGGTCCGACCGAGATTCAACCTGGCCTCCTTCATGCGAAAGCATTCTCGGATCGCACCCTGCAGGGGGTAGCCATGGAAAAGAGGGCTGCGTTACGCCGCCTATGCTAAGCTGCACATACTGCATGCTGTATACTATACCACTCTGCAGCATGACGGTGACACATCTTATACGCCATGTTCTGGCACCACTACTTCAAAGTCTCTTTATTGCGACAAGAGTTTTTCCAGACAGAGCTCCAAGTGCAGTTGAGGGGGCCTGCCCCGCGAGATGCAATAACTGCTGGGGGAGCAACGAGCACGAGGAAATATGTTGCGAGAGGTGCTGAAGGTATTTAAACCTGAGGCTCCAGAATGTCAAAAGTTACAGTAGGCTCACAACCGAGACGAGACGTAGCTCAATGCCTCCATGCATCGAAAACGACACTTGCACCCGAAACATAGTCGGCACGGCATCAGGAAGATATTTTCGAAGCCCGGGGAATGTATTTTGGGACTGTGACTGTACGCAGTACATAAGTTGGGGCTGGCTCTTGTTTCTCCGACGAGCAGTCTGCCATACGTCCTCGCAGGATGCTCAATCTTCTTGCAATACTGCAGCAGACCGTTCTACAATGGTGTAGTCACTCACTCCATCGCTGTTCACTCACCAAAGAATCGAACACGAACACGAGTGAAACCAACGTGGAACTACTTGGCATCAAGTCTGGGCTGCTGGATTGAGCATATAGTCTAGCATATTGCTGTTTGAAGGGGATGATGACACCATTGTCATGTTTAGCTTTGTTCATGTCGGTAGTGACAACGGGTCTTGACTCTCTCGCACAGTGCTTCGTAACAACACAGACTGTCCGTCTTTCGGGACTGGTGCGGGTATCATGCCGAACTAGCGTCTCTTGTGGTTTCTAGCGCCCTGTCAGCTTCGACTGTAAGAGCCCCTCTGAATCATTATTCGGCAGGAAGCGCTTAATTCAAGATCACCTGTCGGAGCGTATTTCACACATCACTCTGAAGATGTGCCGTGGTCACTTTCCGGGTCTCACAGCATGCTGGGAGCTTGCTTTTCCAGCTAAGTCACAGCGTGATGCTGCCGTTTTGTTCGTCGAGCTCAGTGCTTGAAACCTATCTAAATTTGAGAAGTCTCCTGGCAGGCTTTTTTGAGAAAGCGTGGAGCTTTTGCAGAGTATTTCCGAATTGAGTTTGGGCTTTTAGCAAAAGCCGTGAACATCGGCAACATTCACGTGGCAACCGTGTTTGCACGTTGCAGACGTTGTTTGCTACACTGCGGTGCTGTATGGACTATGCTTCTGCGCCACTGCATAGTTTGTTTCACGACATCCTCAGCTACCAACATTAGCCACCGCAGACACTGTACTCATCTCGTCTATAACGTAATGAGTTTTGCGTTTCTTGGGTTTGCAGGCTGGGGTGAAGAAAGGCCATAAACCCTTGCCTGGCCGAAGGATTTCGCATCGATCCTTGCAGCTCCGAGGGAGATGTCCAAAAAAACAGCCCCACGGCAGAGTGCATACTGCAAGCCATCATGTTCTGAGAGCTGGTCTCCACCAAGATCCTTTCCTCTAGCCAGTCATCCTGCTCAATGTCGAAGATGCCTGGGTTGGCCACAGGGTGCGGAACTGCCAACTTCTCCCGAAACTACGGACCTCAACCGAAGCATTATGAATTGTAAGAAGACACATCACCGTCCGTCGGTCCCAACAATTGCTTATCCTTGTGCCTCTGAAGAACCAGCTAGATATCCGAGTCACGCTTTGTGCCAATCTGCCGTTCCCCAACCTCGAAGCTGGACCACATTTCGCGGATTCGCCTTCGAGCTTCTTTTGCATGCCTTCCGGAAGGAAACCACGATTCCAAGCGGAAACTTGAGGAATGTCGACTCGAAGGCATCCAGGTTGCTCCAGCACTGCCGATGGTTTGAGCTTCTTTCCATCTTCAGACACGACCTACGCACGTGGCTTCTCACTGTGAAGAGTAACTGTAACCAGACCTCGCTAAAACCATGGTGCGAAACTCCGGTGCCCCACCCTGCGTCCCTGCCTTCTCGGAGCTGACGGAGGTCGTAGACGCCTTGGGGCCGACCCGAGTGTTCTCACAGACGACGGCTTAAAGAGTCGCTTTGAAGACGTTCATCTTGTTTTGCGTGACATGCGACCCTGCTACTCCCGCCAGTCTTAGTCGGCAGGCAACCCTTGCTTGCGAAACACAGCGGCAGAGATCACTGGCTGCATCAGCGACAAAGGCTCTGGCAGCGTGCTTTAGCAGCGATCGCGTCTGCTCCGAGATCTCCTCAGAAAAGCGGGCAGGTCTGCTAAGCGTTACCGAAAAGCTTGATGCCGAAAGGCAAAATGGCGCGCTGCTGGAAGGTACATCGCAGCTCAAGTTGTCATTCCATCGGAGATGCCATCAGTTCATGACTAGTCTAACGTAAGCTTCAGTTCAAGGAGGTGCATGGCACCTCGAAGGCGTGCCCAACATGTCACCACAGCTATGAAATTCAAGCTTCGCAACTTCCCATTCCCAGTCTTTGCAGTCTTCGTGACTTCTGGCACTGTTCTGCTTCTGATGTTGGCAACCGGGCGTGCTAACGACAGCTTTGCTGAACATCGGCGTGGATTTAGAATTCAAGCAGCAGTAGGCCTCGAGCATCGCTGCAAGCAGAGAGTACTCCGCAGCTATGCGTTTTGCAGTGCGGAGTCCCGATGGCACTGCAAGGAACTGCACCCCAGCCCAGAATCGTAGACCGCAGAGAGGAGCTGCGACCCTGTCCGTCTCTGGCACCTTTTTTCTCCACTGCTCAGGTCCGAGGCAGCAATTTTGCATCTAGCTGAATCTAGCTTTGCTCTTTCGCCGATAGGGCGACACCGGACTTCCCCGACCTCATATGCAGCAATGTCAGCCCTGAACATCTTCGTCAACCTAGACATGCATGAGTGTGATGGATGCATTGGGCTTGGATCGCTGCTGATGTTGGCTGGAACCAGCTTGCCGCAAAGGGTTCAGCTTTGCACGGGCAACCTCTGCGGATGGGCGATGCATCCGCGGTAGACGTAGCAGACAAACCTCCACCCGCAAACCAAACATATGGGCCTCAGCGCGGAGAATGCCCAGCTCCGATCGATGGCCTCATGAGGCAAAGAGGATGAAAGTCTGAAGCCACCTGCATGCATCTCGCCACGGCTTTAGGGCTGCCGCGACCAAGCTCCTCCCTCAGCTCCTCGATCCGAGCACGCCTTGGCAAGCAAGCAGACCCGAACCACAACTCCGAACTCCGCGGTGTCTTGGGTCTTCATAGCCCATTCTTTCAGGTTCCGATGTCTGTCAAACGGCTGGGGCTTCTGCAGCTCTGCACGGCTGGCTGCCCCCTCACGGCGGACTTCCTCGTAAATTGCAGGATGTTTCAAATTCACGACAACACGTTTGGGCCTGTTGGAGGCAAGTGAAACCAAGACTGAAGGCGGCATTGCAGCCCTCAAACCAGGTGAGAACTCCGAACTAAGTCTCAGCCCTGAAAAGCGTGCGAGCAAGGACAGTGCATGCATTGCTGGGCATCCTGCCTCCCTTGCTGCCTCCTGCCGGTGCCGCTCAGCCTCCTGCACTACAAGACGCTCAGAGCTGCAATATAGTGGAAGCAGTACACTTACATGCACTTACTCTGTGTGTTGTCGCAGCAGTAGCGGCATAGCGGCATAGCGGCATAGCGGCATAGCGGCATAGCGGTATAGCGCTATAGCGGTATAGCGGTAGCGCGATAGCGTTATAGCCCGGTAGCGGTACGGCAGCGGCAGGAGCAGGAGCAGGAGCAGAAGTAGGAGTGGGAGCGGGAGCGGGAGCGGGACCAGACGTAGCCAGTTGTGGTCACCTAGTAATAGTAGTCGTAGGAGGAGTAGTAGTAGAAAGTAATAACAGCAGCAACAGCAGAAGTAGTAGCAGTATCAGAAGTGGTAGTGGGAGGGGGAGGAGGGGGAGGAGCAGCCGTAACAGCAGCACTAGTACCGATGGCTTCTCGCGCATGCAACGTAGATGCCCTTCACCGGAGCAGCCCAACCCAAATCCTATGCTTCTCGGAACGGAGTTGAGGCCAACACCGGGGATGTACTGCGGCGACTACTGCTTCAGCTGCGAGGGCTCCATCCCGAATCAGTACTAGCACCAGCCTCTAGGACTTACATGTAGACGACTTGCAGAGAGGAGCTCGGCTTCAGTGACCGACCGGTGCAGCATTCGGCCCCCGTCTCCCGAGTTCGATGGTACTCGTATATCAAGACGACGCCGGACACGCCGAAGACAACAGCCTCACCTGACTTGTTCCGCATCAGTCGCAGCGACTCTGCAGCAAGCTCAGGCAAAACAGAATCTTGCTTCGTCTCGGAATCTCTCGTCTTCCAGGACAAGTAGAACCAGCACAGGCATGGATCCAAAACGCAACATGCCCCGAATAAGCTTGCGAGTTCCACATGCACTTTTGAACGTTTGCCTTGCGAACAAGCATAGTACCAGAGTCTCAATCCTTCAAGGGTTTCAAAAGCAGGATTGGCGTCTTTGCTGAGGGCTCCGCCAAGCATCGTGCAGCCGGCCTGACCCACAGAGAGCATACTCGTGGACGATAGAAACCCGCGAACTCCAGACTGCAACCCCAAAAACCTCAAGGCCGAAACACGAGATGTTCAAGTCCACGCGTTGCTCAGAACCGAAATTATGTCATATACTACATCAGACTATGTGTGAAATGATGTCATACTGTTATACTTTTGTAGCCCCCTCCAAAGCCACAGCTCGCGGGCCTGAACCGCCTGATCTCGCGGTAAGTTCAGCCGCTCCTGGCTGGTCAGAGCTTCTCAACTCATAATACGTCTTGTAAGAACTATTGCTACTGTTGCTAATATTGCCATCGTTGTTATGCTGATTGTTACTAGTATCAATGCTACTGCTGCTACTACTACTACTACTACTACTACTACCACTACCACTACCACTACCACTACCACTACCACTACCACTACCACTACCACTACCACTACGACTACTACTACTACTACTACTACTACTACTACTATTGCTACTACTACCACGACGACGACTACTACTACTACTACTACGACTACTACGACTACGACGACTACTACGACTGCTACTAAATACTACTACTACTACTACTACTACTACTACTACTACTACTACTACTACTACTATTGCTGCTACTACTACTACTACTACTACTACTACTACTACTAGTACTACTACCGCCACCCAGTACGGCTATCTAAATTGCTCTTCGCAACTTCTTGTAAACGTGTTTAGATGATTGAATCGGCTGAAGTGGTTCGAGAAAAGTGCTTGAGGCTTCAGGTGGCTCATGTAATTCTCAGACTTGTGGCTACCGGCTGCCACACGGATTACATCGGAGTACCGATCGACGGTCGGCCCAACTGGATCAAAGCACGGCACAAGATACGTCGGAAGACCTCAAACTGAGTACGCATTGGTTCGGGCTGCGAAGACAGGGACAGCACCACGCTTGGGAGAAAGTGGAATCCATGTACAACGTACCAAGCAGGAGGAGCATCAGCTCAAGAGCAAGAAAAGTTTGCGATTGCCGGCCGCTTGAACAGGTATGCTCATGCAAGGAAGGCGAAGCGTTCTGAACAGCTTAATGGAAGCTTTGAAGGTCGCTTCCCATGGCTCCCAACCCGAGCCTGAGCCATCTGATGCCCTGCAGCCTCCAGTCCCAGTACAAAAGGCTCTGCACTTCACCCGACGTCTCCGTCTGGAGCAGGCGCGATGCATAGACGCAGCAGTCCTGTCATAGGCCACACAAGACGTTGACAAGACGGTGCTGGCGGCTTGATTAAGTCTTGAGCTGTCTGGGATCAAAACTCAGCGGCTTGCAGCGCAGCCCCGAAATTTGCAAGTTACTAGACCCAACAACCCGAAACCGTGCTCTACGTCTGTTCGCCAAAGACTTGGGATAATGCTCAGTCTCGACATTGATGCCGAAGGTGCTGCTGATCGTCATGGTCATCATCATCATCCTCATCCTCCTGGCAAGCCTGCAACGCCAACACCGCACATCACTGCACCAGCACCTCCTCAATTAGCGGTGACTTTTCGATCCTGGAAGACAGGACTTCGCTCTGCCCCGGCCATGGCGAGCTTCGCCACCGGTCGGGCGGCTTGGCGAACGCCTCTCGGCAGATGCTGTGCCTGTTCGCTTGATTATTGTTCGATGTTGTGCTATGTTGTGATGTTTCGGGTGTTCGGGAAGTTGTTTGCGTGCATGGTGGGTATGTGGGTGAGTGTGCATGTGGCTGGGTTTTCTGGATCTGTGAGAACTCATGCTGCATCGCTGTTCTAGTGCAACCAGATCCCTCCAAAGACGGACAACGATTGGTAGTCATTAATCTGCACGTTTGTGTGTGTGTGTGTGTGTCTCTGTGTCTGTGTGTCTGGGTTTCTGCATGTCTGTGCGTCCGTGTGTCTGTGTCCGTGTGTCCGTGTGTCCGTGTGTCCGTGTGTCCGTGTGTCCGTGTGTCCGTGTGTCCGTGTGTCCGTGTGTCCGTGTGTCTGTGTCTGTGTCTGTGCCTGTGTCTGTGTGTGTCTGTGTGTGTGCGCCGGCCAGAATGCGGATAGCACAACGCTTCTACTCATGTTGAGCTGAAACATATTCGGGTTTCACCGTTGAGGCTTGTTTCAGAATGTCTCAGGCTTGGGATATGGCACACAGCGATTGGAAGTGCTTTGTCTGAAGACGAGTTGGATTAGCAGCGTGAGACCGAAGGACATGATACCTCTAGCCAGATTCACTTTCCCACCCTGTGAGGCTGACCATACCTGAACAGCAAAAGCAGCCCAATCCATCATCTCCACAACACACATACCAAGAAGTGAAACGACAACACCATGACATGAGGACCGTGCTAACTATCTCTTTCCGTGCAGTTTTCCTGGACGTTTGCTGCATCTCGACTGTTCTGGTGGCTTAACAAGCTTGGTCGAGGAGTCGAGGGTCCAGGGGCCACAGCGTCTTAGCCGCGCACCCAGTAGCATCAGCTTGTTGAATGGCAGCCGGGACAGCAAGAGAACCTTGGTGGCTCAAGGAACAGCCTGCTTATCTGAGAATGCAGCAGTGGGAGACGTAACAGAAGAGAAAGATACATACTTGTCTTGCTGTTGCAATGCATAGCTGATGATTGTCATGATGTCATGACTTACACTTTGGGTCTGATGTTCCCAGGGTCCGCTGCGAATGCCATGGAACTGTGGGGTAACACGGTGTGTTTATCCTCCTATTCCCGACAGTCTCGTCATGCAAGGTTGTCCAACGCTTCGTCTCTGAATTACATCATGTCTGACGAGGCAGCTATAGTTAACTGCAGCTGGCACAACACAGCATGCAAGCCGCCAGAACGCACAGAGACAATCCAAAACCTTATCCTTTTGTTGATCGCAAAAGAATCTCTGACAGCCAAGTATATACCGCGATGCCGCGACATGATGCGTACTCGATGACACTGTTTAGTCCTTTGCTTCACTGAATACCACCACGTCATCGTGTTGCAACGAGCATATAATGGGCCGAACGGGGTGCCGCGTTGTGAAAGCTTCATCTGCCGAACTTCCGAACAACTGTGTTGAACAGCATGCAGCACCAAGCTGCGATTGAACACCCTAACACATGGTGGCAGCGCCGACAGTTCCAAGTCCAGGTTTTTCGTGCGACCGGATTTGCAGAAACCCCTCAAGCAAAGGAGTGCTAGCCCTCGCTCCCGTCCAAGACCCTGGCCATGTCTGGCAATCCGAACGGGCCGGCTGTCCGAGAAGCTTAATGCTCAATGCTCGCCTGTGGGTATGTAAGCTACAGCTGGGGAGTTGGTAATAGCTGCTGTAGCTGCAGCTTCTGATGTGCAGTCGTAATCATGTGCTGAGCTCGATAACTTCCGACTCAAGGCAGCAGACCTAACAGCGGCGGCTGATGGGTGTAAGCAAGACTAAGCCCTCCATCGCATCATGACTTTACCCATGTCCTTTGTGAACCCTTTTCGTGCGCTCGCAGGTCGGTGCAGGCGTCTTTTGGGCTCAGGCCTTGCACGCAGAGCGCGCGGAGCCCCTGACAAGATCTGCCGAAGATGGGCCCGAGCTCGGCATGCAGGCGGAATGGCCGCGGTCATTCTTGGACTATTTGCCAGTCACGACCCCAAACTCTCACAATGATTTGCTGTCTCACTTCAATCACGACATCCCCACTGCGAGGGTGCTGCACCGTGTGCAGGAAATGTCGACCGTCATGACTTTGGACCTCGGCAGAGCATCACCAGCCATGGGCGGCTCAACTGTGTCCGACTTGTGTACGTAAGGTGACTCGCAATGCGGTCAAGTGACGATAAGGTTGACCAGCATCTATGCCAGCTCGGCGTAGCCTAGTTTCTCGTCAATTAACTCCATCCTGAGCTACCAGGCACAAAAAAGCGTATTCTCTCCGATCGTCCGTAGTGTCTGATGTGAGCCCCGTCTCACCCCGCTGACTCTGCCTTCAAGCTGAACGATGGCCCAGCGACTGATTTGTCACCTCTCTCAACTTCGCATTATGCCTGGCATAGCAGCCAAAATCGTTTGGGTTTGATTTTGGCGCGCGCTGCCGACTGCTTGCATGACGCTGGGGCACGAGCAACTGCCGGCCAGTCCCAGCGCTGTGACGCTCAGATTGGAGCCAGGCACGATGTAGGAGCAGGTTTGCCTCGCATTGGAAATCCATTCGGCTGCACACCTCCTTGTCCCGTCACCGGCCAAGGGGCCGCATGCTCAAAGAGTGCTACAGTAGCCGAATCTGAGTGTCTGCATCGGCAGAAATCAGAAGCTGAAGAACTCTAAGCCTGTGATTTGGCTGCCTCTCGACTCCCAATGTTTTTGCTGCCATACGCAGTTGAGAGATCCTTGTGGAAAGATGCATTGAAGCCGCGCGAACCAGGTTGATACATCTTCTCGCGTATATGATTCTGGACAGAAACTGCGGATCCCAGCAGGCGGCAAGACCTGCCTGCTAAATTAGGACTACATATACAGGTTGTAACAACACAGCCATCCCTACGCACACGCAACGCATCGTAGTCATGACGACGACAACAACAACAACAACAACAACAACAACAACAACAACAACAACAACGACAAGACGACGACGACGACCGACACTATTGACAGCCTTAGTTTTCATTATAGATGACCGACATTGATCGATCGTTCTGCATCACCAAGGCACCCGACGGTTGTGGAGCCGGAGCTTGAGTACTGAGCTGGCGACTTGAGCTGCAAGCCTGGGCGGGCAGAAGGTCTAGGGTTGGGGTTAGGATAGGGTTGGCGGCTCTCAAATGCGAGACGGGTACACTGAGACCTGCACAGAAATACGCCTGCAGGACCGATCCAGATCTTGCCCAGCTGCGTGTCTGGAGAGCAGTGGCTGCAGTCAAAAGAGGTTTCTGTCTTCGGTAGATGTCTGCATCGTGTCACTGAATACGATTGCTAAGTGAGACAGAGCAAAGCACTTGTGGGCTCTTGCCACACACTGAAG